GTGTAACAGTTGCCCACAACTTCCATGTTGGCTGCCACACTCTGACCGACATAACATAATCATAATTAGTTTCTGACGTGCTGCGAGCCAAAACTGCAACGTGGTGACGAGAGACGCCGCAGAGAACGTCTTCGTAGATTCCAACCACCCGACTTTCTTCAACGGGCACTGCCATCGTACAGTATACCGGGGCGGGCCTCTAACATGGCCTCCTCCATCGAAAACGGGACAGCCGCAGCTGGGATCGAACCTGCGACTTTCGGGTTAGCATCAGAGCCTCGGAACGGCTGCGACACCGAGGTGGAGGCTCTCATTCGTGTTAGCGTTTAAAGCTGTATCTAAGTCACAATTTATACTGCAAGAAAAAATGTTTGGGAAGAGTTTAACAACCGCAAAGGGTTAAGACGATCGGCTTCTTTCAGTGGCAGCAGCATAGACGACACTATGCTGCCAGAGAGATGGCATATATATATATATATATATATATAATATATATATTATATATATATTATATATATTGCCACCTACTTCTAGTAGTGGGTCGTATGCCAAGGTGAAGGCTCACACGACAGAGAAGAAAGTAGTGCGCGTCCCCCCCCCCCCCTGCTCTGGCAAACAAGCCCAACGACGCGCTTGGTTAGAGCCCTGTTGCTCAGACGTCAATAAACCTTGCCGACACCCCCTGGAGCGACGTGACAATATATATATATATATATATAATATATATATATATATATATATATATATATATATATATATATATATATATATATATATATATATATTATATATAATATATATATATATATATATATATAAGGGAAAGAAGTCTATACCTATGGGCTCGTTTTTTCGTGTTTTGTCAAAGCACGAATATATATATATATATGAGATCTAACAGACAGTAATGCCAAGGAATGTACAGGGGAAGTTATTAGAACCAATGGAATGTAAATAAGAAGAAAGAAGAAAGAAAAGTGGATGAAAAAATAACCAGCCGTGAGCAGGAATCGAACCTACGACCTCCGAATAACGCGTTCGATGCTCTAATATATATATATATATATATATATATATATAGGGAGTAATAATTCAATGGGCCAGTTAGTCTTCGTGAAGGTATGGGATATGGCACAACGGGCGGGAGCGTTGTCAACAAGGATAAATATATTTCCCAACAGTTTCGGGAGGGGTCCTCCCTTCATCAGGGGATGAGTTATCTCAGGGGATGAGGGATAACTCATCCCCTGATGAAGTGAGGACCCCTCCCGAAACTGTTGGGAAATAAATATATTTATCCTTGTTGACAACGCTCCCGTTGTGCCATATCTCATACCTATATATATATATATATATATATATATATATATATATATATATATATATATATATATATATATATATATATATATATATATATATATATATGAAAGTGAAGAACGAAGATTCCAAATATCACGCTATTCCAACAACGAGGCTTGATTTTTTGACCCGCAACGCGCAACGGCATGACGACACAGACATAATCATTAAGTCCACACTTGAACTGCGATATACGGCAGATCAGCTCGCTGAAATCATCGCTATAGACCCCACGCAGTTCCGAGAGAATCTCGGGGGAAACAATTATCGGAAGTTTAAGCCCCGTATAGCTGCATACGAACCACCCTGTCGACCCACGTCATGGTTGTTATACACTTATAACCTCTCGCAAATAGTCATGCGATTGACGTCCGCACTGTTGCCTTAACTGTTTATCAGGCAACGATCGAGCGTTATAATGACAATAAACGGAAGAGGCAGGAACTAAAGCATCCAAAAAAACGTCACAGGAACAGGCCTGTTTACACGCACCTGCATGAGTGCCAAGTCCTGCGTCATGGAAGCGGAGAGCAGAGTGGCATTATGATATGATCGAAATAGAATTACCAGCGCAAAGAAAAACACAGAAAAGTCAGGAAGGAAACACTTACACACAGCGCTGAACTCACAACTAATTTGTTATTTCGAACACAGGACCTTTTTGTAGGCACGCGTCGAAACAGAAAAAAAAAAAATTGCGACGACAGGGAAGGCGATGAGCATCGCGTGACAACTGCTTACCAAGAGGACACACAACCGAAGGTAACCACGCCGTCTGAAATTCTTACGCTCCAATTTACGCCCCCCGATATAAAAGTAGTGAAAAATTATATATACTTCATCCTAAAACCAACCGGGGCAAACACGTTAGAGGGGTACTGGCACAAAAACTTTGGCCTCGCGTTTTTCTACTGCAATGCGTTGCTGGAGGCCTGTTACTCAAGACACGACACATCTTTTGCTGCAGCACGCGACAGATAATTATTCGCAGGTCCCTGATCAACAATCAGCTTCAGTTTCGGTTTGAGAGAGTTCCAAAAACTGGGTGCAACTGTCGCCACCTAGCGTGAGCAGCAGCTCTTGACTACGTCAGCACACAGAACTGTAACGTACTTCCGCACGGTCCGCATCAAGAATTACCTTCGAATAGGAAACGAGACTGCCATGTCGCCAAACACAAAAAACTTTCTAAGCGTGCTCCACGGCCACGCACTCGCAACCAGCCGCCGAGAAACAGACTTCGGAAGCTAACGCGGCAAAAGAAAAATGGCGGCTATGACGTCATTATAACTTGTTATGACGTGAGGGAAGTAGGGGGTCACCTCGGGGTCCCCTCCGAAGGTGTCTATGGAGTCGGTCGCTCACGCAAACTTCAAAATTAATTAAAAATACCGTTCAAGCTATATTCGCTGTTGATATCTTGCAGCTGATATACGAATGTTCACGAGAATCGACCCCGCAGGCTATCTCGGCCCCGAAAGTTTGCGTCAGTACCCCTTTAAAACCAGAGGAACCTAGGCAGCGGCACACGAAAAAAAAATCTATAATGTTAAAAACAAATGAAATATAAGAACATTGTAAAGCACGGATTAAAACTATTGAAAAGGGATGCGCCGTAGGTAGCTCATTTCCTTATTTGAGAAGGAAATGGCAGGCCTGCTTACACATTTGTCCCCCAGCCTCTGAATTTCGGCTGCCTTTAAAATCTCTCTAATAATTTGTTCGCCATGCCTGGCTAGGACAGTGCTACCCTCAAAATGCGGCCGAGCATGCAGCCACAATCTCGGCAGTGCATCGCACTGCCGAGATTCATTGTCAACCACAATCTCGGCAGTGCATCGCACTGCCGAGATTGTGGTTGACAATGATCGACAAGGATGAAAATGACTGCAGGCGACCGCTGACATTTTCTGCTGGTGCTCTCTAAGACGGACACCTGCCCGTTTGTCCAACATAGTGTACTCGCCGCATCGCATAAAAGTGGTGTGGAGTACACGACTCCTTGCTCGCACGTCACAAAGGGATGACCATGCTTAGTTTTGTACATGTCTTTGTTCGCGTTACCGCTCCCCCTGGGGGGTTTTCTCAATACTTTTATTCCATGTTTTACGCCTTTTTTTAACATTTAATTTTGGTTTTTAACATGTTCGATCTTTTTTTTTTTCTTTCGTGTGCCGCTGCCTAGGCTTCCCTGGCTTTAACGTGTTTGCCCCTGTTGGTTTTAGGATCAAGTATATATAATTTTTCCTTACTTTTATATCGGGGGGCGCAAATTGGAGCGTAAGAATTTTAGACGGCGTGGTTACCTTTGGTTGTTTGTCATTTTGGCAAGCAATTGTCACGTGATGTTCATCGCCTTCCTTTTCCTCACATTTTCTTTCAGTTGTTTCGACGCGTGCCTTAAAAAAAAAAAAGCCCTACGTTCGAAATAACAATTTAGTTGCGAGTTCAGCGCTGTATGTGTGTTTCCTTCCTGAATGTTCTGTCCTGTTTTTTTTCTGCGCTGGTAAATCTATCTTAACCATGAACCAATTCGCCCAAGCAGCAGTTTTAGCTACGATATGATCCTCGAACTAATATCATCGCAAACGTTGCACTGTTCCTTTCTTGTTCTTTTTCTGCTTAACCCTATAGGGCAGTATTTGAAGCACAGACTGCATATGTCACTGCGCTTTTAATTGCGAAAGGGTAACACATTTTCTTCCAACAATATTCGAGCGGTGTGCGTCAATGTCGGAAGAGCGCACGAAAGGGCACAAAAGAAAGTATATGCCCGAGATGTTTACATTGGTGAGAAGGAGACTTGTTTTTCCAGAAATACATTCTCGCCCCCCCCCCCTCCCCTCATCCAGTTTTTCGTTCACGCCATTCCTTGCGTAGCAACGGAAACGTCTTTAAATGACACAGCGCAAGTGAGATGACAATGTGAAGAGTGTTAAGCTCGTCGTCGAAAGTTCAGAGGGCAGAATTTCGCGCCGAAGTTTACGCGCCAATTCTGGTGAATGTTGCAGGCTATACGGAACTCTTGCCTGTGGCTACGGCGAACACGTATACGGAACGTTCAAACTGCGGTACAAGATCACCTCGGTTAAACAGACAATGCATTGAGAAACATTAATTCAGTCAGCGACGTTATCGAACTACTCGCAAAACGCTTAGTAGTCAGCCCTGGTTTAACAGTGGTTAATTACGGTGATTTCACTGCTGACCACGCGTTTTCCGGGCGCGCGCATGCGTAGTTCACACCCGGTATTCCGCTTTACGCAAACCATTTTGCGTCCATCATTGTAGCGGACGTTACACTAAAACGCTCTATTAAGAGACGGACACAAAAAAGACTATCCACCCGGTACGGGACAGCAGTTGGCGGCCCGAGGATCAACAAAGCCCCCTGGGTTGTCGAAATAGGCGTCCTCCCCGACCGCAAACCACTCGCTATCAGTTTGCGCGCTCTTAGGCGAACACGTCACACCACCGGGCTGATGACAGGATCGCCCGGAATGCCTCTACACAAGATGTCGACGACGGAGCCAGATGGGCGAGCGTGTGAGACTTACCTGACCACTCGCACCTGCTGCTGCACGGATCTGTCGACGGAGAGTGACGACGAAACGGGGCGTAGCAACACGCACACTCACCTGGACGAGAAGAGGAACTCCTCGAGCGTCGCCGCAAGGTCCGACCACAGGTCCTTGAAGTGGGCCTCTGCGCATTTGCATGCAGCATATGAAATCCGGCGCCACAAGCGGCTTCAATCACTTGACCGAGCTCACACGAGAACGACTATACACGAGTGGCAAATTCAAGGCAGCGAGGCTTTGTCTCGATATCGTGGAAGCATCGAAGATGCTTAGAGACCAGGGGTCTCGATGGAACAGAAGGCCCGGTCTGCAAATGGCTGTCATCATTCCATTAATTTTTTTTAAAAAGAAATACGTTTACGAGCCACACACACGTGACTGGTCTCAACGTCTCAACGACAAAATTTTTTTTCCTTGTCCCCCCCCCCCACCTCCCTCCCTTTCTTTTTCATTTAATGAAGGAGTAGTCTGAAACGTCAACGTGGTCGTTATGCAGGTACGAGTGCTGTGTCACGAACGACGCCTTCAGCTTCATCCTTTTTTATCTCGCCTATTCATATCTCGGCCTCAAGTACTTCGCGCAACAAATCGCAGTGGCGCGAGGTGGTGGCAGAGTTGCGATGCAAGAACGGGAAATCCTTCTGACTCACCCCTCCTCTATATCCTCGCTTATATCCGCTAACGATCGCACGACGTGACCGGTCGTGCGATCCCCGCCGATACGGGGCGATGCACAGCGCTCAGCCATTGAAGCTCCCCAGAGCTGTCTAGACCTCAGGCCATCACGTTTTGAATGCTCCAGACCAGGTCCTATTCAAGCCTACCTTTCCTCAGCATGGTCTCCTCAGAGGCTTTTGACAGTACATACTTGTCCTGATTGTGGTGGGGTTAGTGACTTACCCCCGCATTCACAAACGCTCCTCGACTCGACTTCCACCCATCACTTGACAGAGTGAGCACTGCGCCACCGCTTGGCTGAAAATGACACTGCGCTACTCAAGAATCACAGAAGATTATTGCCAATATGCAGTGACTTGCCGTGCCTAGAGAAGGCGCTCCGATCGGCTTTCTCAAGTGAAGGTGAAGCGTTGAGTGAAGGGACGTTCTAGAATACGGGGGTTAGCGCGCATGCTCTGGCAGTGCCCCTCGTCCCAAGTCGGCTCACAGAAGAAAATTGGGACTCTGTCTTACGAAGTTCAGAGTTGCTACCCCAACTACGGGCTGTCCAGAGAGCCCACGATGTGGCGGTCATGCTAGGCCTCCCCGTTCCTACGTGGGAGCGGCCCGCGACGTTGCTCTAAAGGAGTAGCGTTTCTCAGGATATAATAAAGTTCTTTTTTCTGCCTGTCTGTCTGTCCCTACCTACTGGCCTGGTTGCGCATTAACCCTCTTGCGACACGTTGGCAAGTATAGTCATCACCGGATTTTTTTTTTAACGAATGACAGCTCATCACTACACTCGTCAACAAAAATGGTAGCGCGTACAACCTAATGGCGACTGCGTTCGCCGTAGTTGCGTTTCTGGGTGCCCAAGTTATCTTTGATTTTTAATAAGAGTTTATTCCTGCTCCTCCTCCTGTGCTTAGTACCTTCGTTGCATTGCCATCGCTGATACTGCGCACGCGGCATGTTTTTACACCACTAAAAAACACAAAAAACGTTATTTAATTCAAATACTAGTACTGTATTATTCAACAACAACAAAAAAGCTCGAAACGTTGTGGGGCCGCAATGTGGCGGGCGCCACCACTCTTGGAGTGAACGGACACAGTAGACACGGTCGGAACAAAACAAATGATACACGCACATTTGTTTAACTAATTTTAGAACGACGATATCGTCAGCCGAATTATTATAACACCAATCGTAATCAACCCGCTAAGACATCCTTACGCAACATTACTCAGCACGTCGCAACATAACAAACATAAGAGCACACAAAATGTGGCGTCGCCAACCAGCTGGACACTCGAAGAGCGGACGCACGAAACGAGTGCACAGGTATACACAAGAGAAGCGCGAAACAAGCGTCACAATTCTTCCTGCGTCGTGTGTCAAAACCGAGCACTCCTATCGTAAACACGGCCGCGGTAGCGAGCGAAGTGACCTTCGTCCTCTCCGAATTGCGAGTCTGACAAGCGCGCGCGCAGGACAGACCACGCTCCGTGGAGGCGGCGATTTTTAGAGCGCGCCCAAGGCGAGCCCGTCGCGCCATTTCGCTACCGATAACGAAAACTCTCTGAATTTTCGAAGCTCCGATGACCGCCAATCAGCGTATGGTGTGTATAAATGGCTTACGTACGTTACGTGGCGTGTTCGCTAGCGCCACGCGTTGCGAATCGAGATGTTGTTTGTTCGAATCCGCGCGATCGAGCGTGCCTTCACGTTTTTTTTGTTTTTTTTTTGCAACCTGTTTGTAGATATCTTATAACGTCATACCCGTGACAGAAATACGTCAGCGGAGCCGTGGCGAACCCCGGCATAGAACAAAACCCACGGTCAGCAGAGAAGACCCACCCAGCGCTAACTTTAGAGCAAACTTATTAATTGCTGGGGTTGCAGATACCAGATGCATGACATGATTACGGAAGACGCCGTAACGGAGGGCTCCGGGAATTTCGACCTCCTGGTGTTTGTTACCGTGCAATGACATCGCACACAGTACACGGGCCTCTACTATTCCGTCTTCATAGAAACGAGACCACCGCGGCCGGGATTCGAACGCGCGACCTTAGGGTCAACAGCTGAGCGCCGTAACCACTGTTTCAACATGGCAAACTCAGCTAGATTTATCGAGCCACTGAATCTGTTTATACACCGTCACGACAAGCTTAGAAAGCTATAGCAAGCAGACAGATCCCAATGCCGTCCCGCCAGAGCACTAAACGGCAACAAAACAAGTTCGTTGCGCGTGCAGACCACGTGGTGTAGCCTTGCCACACGGAAGCGATAGACAGGGCAAACCACATTTCAGCTTCAGCGTGATAGCGGGGCGTTAATGGAATGGCGTTACCGTGCCGCAAACGTTCGTTGCGGACGGCGCGTTTTAGTTTGGCGGGCCAGAGTTTACGTGCCCAAACCTGGGTAGGTGGCGCCACCTAGCGGAGGGTGACTGCGTTAGAGAAAATTGAGAAGATAGAACGCTCGTCTGCTTCACCTCCACACCCAGCAATGTAACTACTGTTTATAGCAGTTGCAGTCTGGCGTTCACCCAACCTGATGAACGCCAGACTCTGGCTGAAACATCCAAATAAAACACGTTGTCTGTCACTGCTCACGGAAGATCTATTTGACTACTTGGAACGCTACGGCCACTCCACCACCATGCCTGTATATATATATATATATATATATATATATATATATATATATATATATATATATATATATATATATATATATATATATATATATATATATATATATATATATATATATATATATGCTTATTTGAAGAAGAATAGCTTCGGTTGCTGCAAGGATTTAAGTATGAAATATGAAAGCAGATGCGCTTTCACATAACTGTTTATTTAGCGGACGTTTCGACGGGAGTCCCGTCTTTCTAAAGGCACGCCTTGAAAAATCAAAATGACAGATCGCTTGACAGTAGTGCAACACAACAGAAACTAAAAAAAAAGAGCGCCATTACATTGTGCTGTGCCTGCCTCGTTCTTTTGCTCTGTAACTTCGCGCTGCTTTCTTCAAGAACAAAATGCCTCATAGTCACTGCTTTTGCCACCACTCAAAGATTCCGAACGCGCGCTCGCCCATCACCATATAGCCCCTTTTAACTGTGCCATGATAATGATTATATTTTTTCGTGTCCTTCAAGCAGACGCCGCGACGGCACCGTGAAAGTCGGCCGGCCGGGGTGGTCAAGTGGCTATTTAATGTAAGGCTGGCTCACAGGTCATGGGATCGAATTCCGGCTGCGGCGGCTGCATTTCCGATGGAGGCGAAAATGTTTGTAGGCCCATGTGCTCAGATTTGGGTGCACGTTAAAGAACCCCAGGTGGTCCAAATTCCCGGAGCCCTCCACTACGGCGTCTCTCACAATCATACGGTGGTTTCGGGACGTATCACCACCACAACTCCACGCATCAATCACCGTGAAAGCCGTCGAAACATAACACGCCCGTTAAAAAGCAGGTGAGCGAAAACTGACCATTGTTGTGCGCGATTGGCAAGCCGACGCGTAGCACGGTGAGCAGTGACGTCACGGCCAGCTTCCACGTTGATTGGCTCGGGCAGTTGTACTTCATGGACAGAGGCACGTGTAGAGTCTGCACCACAGGAGAGGGAAAAAAAACGAAAAATAAAACGTAAATACACGTCACGCAGATGCAAATTATGCTGTTTATGTATATGCGAGAGCACTACAGGATTAAGATCCATTTGAGCAAGTTGCTGTGGTAACAGGGGATTCACTGATACACCAGCGGAAATGAGTCAACACCGTCGTTTAACCAATAAAGCTCGCCATTGTTCTATCTATCTATCTATCTATCTATCTATCTATCTATCTATCTATCTATCTATCTATCTATCTATCTATCTATCTATCTATCTATCTATCTATCTATCTATCTATCTATCTATCTATCTATCTCAGTCAGTCAGTCAGTCAGTCAGTCAGTCAGTCAGTCAGTCAGTCAGTCAGTCAGTCAGTCAGTCAGTCAGTCAGTCAGTCAGTCAGTCAGTCAGTCAGTCAGTCAGTCAGTCAGTCAGTCAGTCAGTCAGTCAGTCAGTCAGTCTGTCTGTCTGTCTGTCTGTCCATCCTTCCGTCCGTCCGCTTATCAAAACATCTCGAACTATGCCAGCGCCACTTAGTGAACAGTTAGCGTACTAAGGGTGGCTACGACAGACAACGACGGCTGACAAGCCTACGCTTTAAGGCTCTTGGCCCCTATAGGAGTGTCGTACCGCTTGGGAATGCGTTGAATATATTTACAATGCAGCTGCCTTGAAATAGATAGTTCGGTTTCAATATCGAGAGGGTGGCTTCGCAGTGACGTGTCCACACAGTTCTGACGTCACGAGAAGACTGCAACTCGCCACGTGCTAGCAACAGCTGTCAGTTAGCCGTCAGTCGTAGACGTGGATAACATAAACAGCGACAAGTGAATGGTCATCTGAAGAGTCCGACTGCGATTTCTGCGATTCAGGCTGCACGCAGGACGCAGACTTCGCAAACCCAGTGAACAGCGTCGACTTGCCACGATAATGTCCATTGCCGTGGGGCTGCACCACAATGAAATGTTTGGGTGCCTTAAGACCGCGTCAGTTCGTCTTTAAAGGGTCACTCACCACCCCGCGTTTAAAGACGAAGGGGTGACTTTCTCCTCTCCTTCATGCACACGATGCATCCTCCTCGCCCCTTAGTTCTGGAACACACGTGAGCAATATCAGCACTAAGCGCTAGAGCCTATCAGGACTCGCTCTTCTCGGCTGCACGCTGCTATCGCCGCCTGCGCAGTTGTTAACATAAAAAATGAAGTTTGATCGGATTACTGTGCCTGACATTCATGCGAGACAAAGAACGGATGGGCGGCTACATGGCAAAGCAGTGCAGGAGACAAATTACACGTGATATTTCGCATATATCAATGAATCGAGAGCATGTACGTGGTACACGTCACGGGAACTACTGTCTACGTCACAGTAGTGCGCCAGGAAGGACGAGAAAAGGGAGGGAAGTGACTATAAATGAAAAGAAGAGAAAAGTGAACCCCGTAACTGTCTCTCAGGGGGAGGACACCTCAACAGTAGCTCACGAGGCATGGGGGTAGAGAAGGAAAAAAAAGGATAGGATTAAAAGATAGAAAGAGAAGAAGGAGAGAGCGAGACGCAGGGACAGGGAGCGACGGAGGTAAGGAGAAGACAGGAAAGATGGACACGGCTGCAGGAGTCCGAGGACGGGGCACCACTCGGCGAGAGCTCTAGTCGGCGAATGGAGGTGGCGTAGGGCTAATCCAGTCGGTCAGAGCTGCGCTGTCGTCGGAGATCGCGAGGGCACAACCGGTCTGCACGGAATCCAGCGAGCAGGAAAGTATATTGCGCTCTTTTTTTGTATTTTGGGAGCCTGATGAGTGGGCCCTTTAAGGGAATTTCCGGTGGTCAAAATCAAACCGCAGTTTGCCACTACGTCCCTGCCTCACAATCGCGAACGCCTTTAAAAAACAAATGAAGAGATAGAGATGGCGTCGGGAAGATTGCGTCACCTCCGCCGCCTGCAATGCAACCTGAGCCGTGCCCCCACTGCCACGTCAAGCTCACTTCCTGGCGTGCACGGAAGGAACAATCTAGTTAGCCGCTCCCCGGCAGCTTCCAACGATAAGTGACACACCCGTTACATAACGCCCGTCGCATGTGCGCTTGCAATAGAGACACGCACCCATATGCATATCTAAGAGGATGACGACAAACGCGGAACTTGCAACGTGCCCTTGCGGTAAGCTAGCAGCAAGGCACTGAACGTACACCGCAGCTGAGCACGTACGCACCAGGAAACAGAAAGAAGAGAAAGGAAGACCATGTGCCAACCGTGTACGTGACGGTCTCGAGTGGATTGAGATCGAATAGACGAAACATGTATCCGTAGAAGGTTTGGCTAATGATTATCGATGTAATACGTCGCTAACATCGGCGATAACTTCTAGACTCGCGTGGTCCGGCTTAACTTTGTGTCCCACTCTGGTACATCTAACTGGTGTACACTAGGGCATCTGTGCTTCTGCGCAGTACGACAAGTTGCAACACCGATTGGCAGTTTCAAAATTGATGGTCATTGAGGCTCGCGCTGACAAGCTTTTAAAACCTAGAAGCTGATATCAGAAGACCATTATCACAACATCAAATTCACGGACTTCAGGGGGTCATCACATACGTACGCACGCACGTGTACATAGCAAAGACACAAGGACTGCGCGTTATGCAATCCGACATTGATGTGTCGACGACGGTCGAGAAAGGCCTACGTATTCTCTGATTAATGCGTTCACAGAAGCACTTCACAACTCGGCAGTCATTCATATCTTGCCGACGCCATATTGCCATCTACGTGTGTGTGTGGAGAGATAGATAGATGGATGGATAGATAGATAGATAGATAGATAGATAAATAGATAGATAGATAGATAGATAGATAGATAGATAGATAGATATATTTTAATGTGACTTCGGCTAGCCACGTAAAGTTCCTTTTTTTAAAAAAAAAATGTTTCACTAGCGTTCTACTTGCGCTAGCTGTCGCAGGATGCCGCCACCAGTGTAGCAACTACCACCCTCCATTACGGTAACTGGGTGATCCGCAAAATGTAATACATTTACAGACAGGGTAATCTTCCTATATGCAGTCACCTTCGCGGGTACGCGATCGTGGTAAATATGAATGCAACATCATTAGCAGGGACGCTCTGGCAATATACTATAGCGTGCGAGGTTTCGCGGAAACCTACCCGACTTTCTCGCACAATACACCAGCACTTTTGATCCATGTCAAAGATGTCGAAGGTAATTAGAGGTGGTAATAAAGCATTTCTTTCGCTTTTACCAATCGCCTTATTTGTCCGCTGTCCGTGCCTGTGCTGTTTTTTTTTTTTTTTGAAGACAACATCAGATCGTCTGCACTTTGCAACTTCGATTTTCCTGCGATAACAGTTGCGCGGTAGTTGAGTGCTCGACGAACGACCGAAACTCCAAGCCAGCAACGAGCCAGATAACGGCGCATCGTCTGGCAAACCACCAAAGCTTGCGCGCGCCACGGAGAAGCGACATTGGCTGCTGTGTACAGCCCTCGCAATGGATCACGCCCTTCTTCGCAGGTCAGATCTACAGTATTTCATGATTGATTTGATTGATATGTGGGGTTTAACGTCCCAAAACCACCATATGATTATGAGAGACGCCGTAGTGGAGGGCTCCGGAAATTTTGACCACCCGGGGTTCTTTAACGTGCACCCAAATCTGAGCACACGGGCCTACAACATTTCCGCCTCCATCGAAAATGCAGCCGCCGCAGCCGGGATTTGAACCTGCGACCTGCGGGTCAGCAGCCGAGTACCTTAGCCACTAGACCACCGCGGCGGGGCAGTATTTCATGATGGTACCTGTACACGGTAGTACGGCAATGAAACCCTTCTTAGGGGAGGTCTAATCTAAAGCACGATGTGGCGATACTAGAATAGAAGTACAATAGTGCAGATCGTGTCTCCATTACGATAAGATCCCAATAAGATAGTGCCTTCTCCATAGAACAGATATAGTGTCTACAATACCATAGGATGGTATTAGGATACTACGGTATGGCACTGGGAGGTCCTTCGTCACAGCAGGAACAGCGTACAAAATACGACATGATCAAACTAGGAAGCGGCAGGATTGCAGCAGCATGAAATCCCACTTGGCAGGTCAGAACACATATACAATACGATAAAGGACGGAAACATTTGCATAAGATTGGATGGAACGATAGGTGGTTAGGCGAGCCAGCTCTTCCGCGGGGTCTTTAGCATCCACTTTGTGTAACGAGGTGATTCAAGCCGCAAAACCGGTTTCTAAACAATTTAACCTAACGCTTAAAAACTAACTAAGCCAGTACTGTCAAACGCTGGCTGTCCGAATTCGTAACCGCAGGACCACCCAATTTCAACGACTGAATTGCGTGCCATGTTTCACCTCAAGGCTACCTGTCAACACCGGCCCAAAAATTACCCTGACACAATTCCACGTATGCGAAGGTACGGAGGCGAGACAGCTGTATAACCCCCCACCTAGAGAACAGGTAAGCTTCCTTATGAAGGTCGAAACTTTTTTTTCTTTTTAAACATTTATTCGATAGGCGTACTTTGTTTCGTCAGGCAACTTACCAGAAACAAACCATTTAAAACAAAAGGCGCCAACGATTTCCCGCCAATCTTTTCTGCCCTGGAGGGAAGCAACGCACCGAAGGAGGAGCTAAGCATCCAGTCCCCGCCCACCTTTTTTTTTATTTATTTTCCAAATACTGTTAGCCTTTCGGCTGTTACAGGGGTGGGACATACTAAGAATGACAAACATCAATACATTCAAATCATACAGCAATTTAAACAGCAACACTTGAACTTGGAAATGTCACATGACATACATTGGAAACACCGGCATTGAGGCTGAAGGAAAAACAGTGCAGTCGTAGTAAGCATACAAATGAATTGCAATAAATTAACATAGTAGACCATGCTTACAGAAAAATATCTTTGAGCCCTTCCTCAAATTTTTCCAGTGAATCACAATGAACCAGTGGTAA